CTCTCACAATTTACTCGAGAAAAAGAACAATCTTCGTGAACAATAAAACAAGAGGCATTATGAATAACATATGAATTTTAATGCCTTATAACTTTTAATATAAGTAAGTTCTTTTATTGCTGTTCCTATTGACAGGTGGGCCGGCTATTTTCTCGCTCAAAGTTTAAATCTAACCATTCACTGAGGAAATGCAGCTACTGTTCTTGGCACCATTCCGCGAGGAATACAATTTTTTATGAAATGTGATAATTATTTTCGAAAGCTTAAATAATGAAAGTAATAAATTAATGAAGCAATATCTGAAGTCGAATAATTCTTTTATTTTAATTTCATAATAGAATAATAGTAATAATAATTTATTTCATTCCATAACTTTACGTATGTATTCGATACATCGGGAATTTAATTTTAAGTTAAACGCGACAAAATCCCTAACAATAGACTTTATATTAGAAATCGTAGTCTGTACGTTATTAGTGAATTTGAACCGTTGCCTTTGACCATTAATTTTTAACTGTTAAAACGCAGTTGTTTAATACGGCCACGTTTTGATACACATTTACTGCCGGCGCGCGGCTTAAACGTCAAGGACTATAAACATGTTACTTTCGTTAATTTTATGAGGACATTTTTTTTACTTCATTCGCGCTGAACGTCATATAATAAATATACTTGTATAAATGAAAGTTTATATTTTTATAGCAGAAATTGCATACCAGAAAACGGTTCAACTGATTATGAACGATACTATTTTCACAATTTCATCACCGAACATTTTGCAAGAGTATTGGTTGAACAGACTTTTTAGACTATATTAACTATGCATGTCAGCTGTACTACCAAGTGCACTTATATATACGACATCACTTATCTATCGATTGAATTAAAAAGATACAGTACAGATCTCTCCGACATCGGGTCGCAGCGCGGTACGAAAAAATTGTAAACAATCGTGAATGGTCGCAAAAACGCTGTAACCGACTCGATAAACGAAGAGCGATCGCTTCGGGACTTCGAGAAAAAACCCGAATACAGACCACAAAAACTTAATCGCGTATAACGCGGGGGAAGTGCCGAATAAACGTGCGTGATAAATTAAATAAACAAATTCATAAAAAGCAACACTGGGAAGGGGCTTTTGTTGGGGCATGTTGCGGTCGCCAGGTAAGGCCCTGGAGCCCACGCAGCTACGGTAATCCTATTACCCGGCCATTGTAAATGGCCAAATAAATAATTTATTTTCGATAGTATTCAATAGCAATTGGGCTCGGCCGCGCCCGGGGCGGTTATTAATTGTTGAAGAATTGCTTTATCATTCGAACGGGGCCTTTCTACCGTGATTTAGGACCAGCTAGCTGGCCGATCGAGTGCACAATGCGAAACCAGAGCACGTCTATATTAGTTTCGTAGAGTTTATTCCTCGGAATGATTAGGTGCAATTTGCTGTTCGATGCATGGAAAACCTTCTCAGAATACGGCAGATTGCTACGAGTTTTTACTTCTACACGGATAATATTTTTTCCTAGAAATCACCGTTTTAACGGCTATTCAACTAACAATATTAACTCAAACATGTAATAATGTAAAAACAGGTCATCAAAAAAGCTGAAGAAATACTGACTGACCTCATCACTTATGCAAGTCCATAGTGTCTTTAATAATATATTTTTATCACGATTAAAATCGCAGCATTTATTCAGATTTTTGATGATACAAAGAAGCGTCGTTATTAGTATCAAAACCATTTATTATTAGTACCTTACTAATAAGTGACTAAAACTTTTTATTAATTTCAGGATAAAGCCAAAAAACTAAAGTTGTTCTCAGGTATTTCAAATAACTAGTTCAAATCTTTATAAAGTAAGTTCTTAAATATGTCCGTTTGAGCAACTCTTGATTAACTATAGAGTGTTCGAAACAACATAAAACATCGCGAAACGTGCAATGTTCGTTTAATTCCATTTCATAATGTTGATATTGTTTTATTAAGTTCATTCACATACCAACCGAGCCGAAAAGGTTCCCATATCAATCAAAGACAAACAAACTATCACAAAGTACCAATAAAATATTTTTATTAAAAACAATAATACAAAAGCTTCGAGGCTACAAGGACCAAAAGAACAAGATCCTTGTCGGCCCCAGTCGCATACTCTATGAGGGCAATTTAAGCGTGCATGGGCAAACAATAGCGTAGAACCTTTAAGAGCTATATTGTGAGTAAACACTCGACTGCTTTTTTCTCTGTACAATGCTGAGCACGTTTTGATACTTGTATGGTCTTTGTTTTATAAAGTTTCGCGATGCAGAATTGGAAAAGAAAACAATAATTTTGGCTTTTGGCTTCTACGTTTTAAGCCTTAATACAGTTTTTAAATTGTAAACAATCTTACATTTATGTGAAGTTCATTTGTGCACGTGTAAGAAAGCTTTATAACCCATAAAATTCATTGACATACTGTAACAAAACAAAACTGTTTTTTTAATTATTAAGAAAATAAATTATATAAATTCTATTTAATGATCTTCCGTTACGAAACTAACGTTTCATAACAATTCGACATTCCTTGGTTACATAATGCGCGCAGAATTAATATTTACGACCGGAGCGTGTATCAAGATCACAAAGTCGCGTGTAGGAGGTTGACGTCGGTAAATCACAATGCGCTCGTGCGTTATTGTATGAATTGCATTTTTTGCGTGAAACCGATCATGATGTATCCGCTTTGAGCCCCGCCGAATTATAGTGTATTTATTTACACAATGTTACCAACGTTCCCGCTGACGTGGGACAAGGTGACATTAAAAATGCAAGTCGTAAAACTCTTTACGAGCTCGCGATTTAGCATTTTATTCCTTCGGAACACTTATTTATACTCATTTCCATAATTTATTAAGAGGAAAATTTAATTAAAACACTTAGGTGTGGTCTGTTCTTATCTTTTCATTGCTTTTTGGATCGAAATAAAACAGAAGTAACGATAGGTCTTAGCAAATTGCTATGGAAATGCGGACATATGTGTATTTTTAATCGAGAACGAACAAAAAAGTGTTATTATTTGTTAGTTCCCAGCACTAAATGATCTCGGGTGTTAGCTACCTACAGACTTATTGGGTCGTATACTTGAGGTAATTTAGAATTTTGGCATATAAAAATATTTGATAGCGAAGCCACGATTGATTCCAACGCTTGCGTTCGCAACAGTCGGATATGTAACTGAACGCACCGTATAAATATGTATGGGAGGCGGGAGCTTCTTTCGGGAACGCTACCGGCGCATTCCTGTATTGTGCACCCGTCATTATGCCATCAACTTGTAAAGTATCGGGCACACCCTTCGCCTATTGTCGCCGCTTCCGAATAATTAGAGCTAACATCATTGTTGCCTGGATACTTTGGGCGGCGATATAGTATACATTTCGCTTTGGAAAAAATCTCGAGTGCCCTCTGCCAAGGGTCGCATTGACTGTTAATTTTTGTCATTGTGAGCTCCCGTACCGTGATGTTGTTCTCTTAGAACTGTATCGGCGACTGATATTGCGTAAGGGTTTTTGTTGATATTTCTTTTACTGCACAGGGGTTGTGCGAGTCGTGAGAAATTGTTCCAAATTCTTCGATTGTTCCGTTTTTGTTTGTTTTAAATCGAAACAGCTTGTTGAGGGATAGATGGTTTTCTTTTGCTGTTATACTCTTTTAACTAACTTCATTATAATTAAATTTCGCGCTATGGTAGTAAGTCTAAAAAATGCTTACATGTTATTTAAAAAACAATGCATTAATCCGAGGAAGAGTGACATAATTACCTGAGAGCCCTATAAAATATTGTATTGTATTAATAATGACTAATGCAAAGTAATATTGCATTAGTTATTGTTAAAAAGAGGGGTATTGTCATTGTTAAACGTAATATAACTCACTCGGGACTGCCGCGCTTGCGGTGTTATGACACATTAACCGGCGATAGGGGGCGCGGAGATCGGGCCGAGCTATCTTTCGCCAGGATCCTGCTGATTCATCACACAGAACCTCTCCCTCGGGGATACGTTATAAATCGAGGGTCCGAGAGACCGCTTAAATGTCCTTATTTTTAATTGCATTCTGTATCACGCGATATATGTTAAGGTGATTCGGATGGACGCTTATCTCGAAATCTACGATGAAATAAAAGAGACAAATTCGCGTTTATGAAAATAATCGGAACATCGACATGATTTTTAACGATTACGAATGGTGTTAAAATTTGTTGCGCATGTAAATGGCATAATAACACGATGTTTTTTTTTTTGTTAATGTGCAACCTATTTAAATGAGTTGTTAATAAACGTAACGTTAACATTTGGGACGAATTATTTGTTAGGAACGTGACGTAGATACATAACGTTTATATAACACGTTAAATTCACATACTCATACTAAATTGTCCATTTATATGTTACGCATAATTTAAGTATTTTTTCTTAACAAATAATTTTAGGATTTAGTGTCATAAATAAATTAATAAGAGTGAACCAATTAAGAAATTTATGTCGTTATCAAAATTTTAACGTGTCAACATTAAACTGCAGCCAAATAACATTGACAACGAATGGAATACTTTCATCTAAAATTATTGTAAATTGTAAAAATTATTGCAATATAGAAAATTGCTTCGCAATAAGTAACTACTTTTCGTAAGTATACAAATTTGCGTCTAATTTGTAATCGGAAGGACTTCACAATGGTCTACAGATTAAAAAGAGTGATATTTAAACAGCGATCCTGAATCGAATAAGGTTTCGCAATAAAAGTAACGTCCATGACCGAGAATTCTGTCTAAAGAACTCACCATACCATAGGTTGACTGCTACAGAATACCTTATAGCGTTAAGTTCATCTTTTGTATTCGAAGGTGATGCAATAAAGATGAAATAAATAAGTATTATATCATATTAATAATTCCGAATGCACAAATCCGAAAGATATTACGTGCGTCAAGCGTATTGTTTTGAGGGTCACTCACGTTGTGCAGCTTGTAGTAGAGGCCGCAGGCGTTGCATACTGGTTCTCCGTTCTGGTTGCGTCGCCACAGCGTGGTGGTGGTGGTCTTGCAGTTAGCGCATGAGGTGCCCGCCCTCCGCGCCGCGCTCTGCAGCGACTGTGGACAAAAGACGCCATTATGACACCACATTTCAGACCACAAGTATACCTAAAACTTTAAACTATTAGTGTATCATCCAAGAAATATATAATTCAAAACTAGATCATGTCGTTGTCATAGGAAACTATTTTTACGGATTACACAACGTTTAACCAGAAAGTTAAAAGTGATACAATATATAAACATGGTTTCATATAACTTTTGTAGTATTCGCGTAAATACAATGAAATGACTACGAATGTAATGAAGAAACAAAAGGAAAAGAAAACTCAAAACTTGTTTTGTTTACACCGCTCGACTTGTATGAGTTATATATAAAAGTTTTATAACATTTTCACAATAGAAACTTTAAATGGTTAATTATGACAATGTTTTTTTAATATAAAAATAAAAATGACACTTATCGGAACTCGAAACCTATAAAAGGTGTGCGGTTTGGAACGCGAAATGTTCGTAATGCATATTGCTCAGCCTAGATGGCGCCTGTGTTGTTTTCCGCGTGTTAGTAAGAATGAATACGAATATTGTGTTTCAAGTGTTTCTTTGTTTCGTCGTGGATTGTTAGAGACTATTTATTATAATTTTCCATACTACTGTTGTATTAAAATTTTCTAGTATTTAGAATTTTGTTAGTCATGAGTGAGCTATCGGAGTCGGATATTAATCGTTTTACCCCAGCTTATTTGTGTAATACGAATCGTTGGCCAATTTGTTGGGCCATAGAACGTAGAATAGCCATAGAAGCCCATAGAACGTAGAATAATGAGCTCTTTATTCAGATAGCTAGACCGTACGTAGTACTTCAGATTCATTCAAAATGATCTACAGCAGCGTCATTAGGATTTTTTTTTGTTTTTGTGAAAAAATTACAAGCGAGCACGTGGTTCACCTGATTTTGACAGGGTAACAACACCTGACGTGTAGCAGTTGCGTTGCCATACATGAAGAAAGTGAGAACCTTTTTACCAGATGAAACGCGAAACGCGAAAGACGTAAGCATGTGACCGCGAGGCCACAATTAGGCCGCGCTCGGGTAAAGGGAGCAAAAGGCATAGAGCCCACCGCGGCTTGGTAAAACAATCACGTCACAACAAAACTGAATCGGCAAAACGGAGCGACGCACAAAAAGCGAATGGCGGGCATGAGAGGGGGGGAGGGGGCGAAAAAGCGAAGTAGCTATCGGCGGCCCCTCTTACGCACCTGCCCATTACTACCCGTCAATCAAACAAAAAACGCGGCGGGCATGCGGTGGCCGTTTTATACAGTCCACGAAAGTGCCTCACTCAATTAAAAATGCATTCGTCCCAAACGGGCGCGCGGGAAAAAAGAGGAGCGGCCGCGCAATCCCGCTCATAATAAATCCATTAATTTGTCATGTCATTTATCGGGAGGACGGTATCGGCGTTTGGAGCGTTAGACGACGCTCCGGGTGAGGTTTGTGACCGTTTCTCGGTAACTAGAGTCGGCCTGTCCGAGATTATCGTGGCCGTAGCGACGCATTGTCAGTTTTAATATCGTAAGTGAGTCGGCCGCGTACCATCAGGCTCAAACTCTGTTTTCTTGTGACTTATTTAGTTATTCAAGCACGTGAATTGCTTAAACACTCATTTAACTGTTAACTCATGTAACATTATTATTGTTATTTTATTAACACCAGTAGGATACTTTAACAAGGTTTGAACATGATATCATTTTGTTATAATATGTGCCAGATAATCATGTAAAGTTGTCACAGATAATATACAACTTCAACAGACTATTTCAATATGAAAATATAATGAAATCGATTTAAATGTTCCAATGAATAATTTACCATCAGAGCTCGACTGTACCCGTATATTGGAATACCTAAATATTAAATGGTTCGCGTCAATATTCGCCGCGTCATGGCACCTCCTTTGTGCCAGCAAGAGATTAGAGCTCGCCATATTAGCCCAGCCGACGACCGGCACTTTTTCTCCACGGTGCCATGGGACTGGAATGGCTCGGGCCTCATTTGCTATAGCCGAGTAAAGAGCCTCTTCAGTTCACCCAACAACCCGAATTTTAAAACGGCATTCGCAGTCGATGAAAATGTTGAAACGACAAAAGAGATGATCGTTATCATCATAATTCACATATGTAAACAGACGTACTCGCGCCGCGATCGCTTACTACGTATGCACTCGTAACCGAGGTCCGAGTTTTATGAGTCAATTACGCGAGACCAATTTTATAATCTGCAGATAAGATTTTCTCATCAAGCCCTAACGGGCCCTGCATCACACGAGGGTCCCGGGGGAGACCAGCGAACCGAGGGGCCCGTATTAAGCCGATTACAGAAGTCAACCGTCGGCGGGGGCGATTTTATTTCCGTGAACGAGAATAGAGAAAAAAAACCGACTGTTTACTCGTAATTTTATGGCCGTATTACTTTCGCTCTTCAAACATTGGAATGGCTGGAGTAGTCGTAAACTTTACGAGCGAATATTCTTTTTTTCGTTAGGTTACCGCTCGTTCGTCGCTGTACTTAATGCGGTGCTCTATCACGTATAAACGTAAAAAAGAATTATATTTACTTAGAATATATTAGAACTATACTCAAATCTATGCCTTGTCTTCGTCTATATTAGTTTATGTTCCCGATTTCAGCCGTAAGGGCTGTGTACATCGCCGGACGCGCGTAGAATGACGATATTTACGGACTTGAAGACCGTACGAGTGAGATCAAGCTTTACGGCATTGTCAGGGAGCATCGTCTTCCGGCCGGCTTCACCGCGGTGAAGCCAGCAGACGTTGGCACAGTGCTCTGTGCTCCACGCAATACGCTGCTTTTGAGTTCCGGGAATAATAAGGAATGCGGGGCACGCGGACACTTGTGCCGTTCGCGGCCCGAGTCCCGGGCTTTATTAATTGCTGTACCCATTTCACTGTCAGCGGCATTCCGCCGCGGCCGATACCGACGGCATCCGAAACGCGTATCAGACAGAACGCGCCGGCGGAGATAAAAAGGCGAGGGGCAAACAAACAGACAGAGAGACGAGGACGAGGTTCAGCATATTGTTATCGTCGCACTCTAATTTTCAGTGTAGTGTAAACTCAAAAGATCTGGCGCTGCGACAACATCAACGGCCGCCTTTGTGCCTCGGCGGGAACAAAAAGGGACCTTTTGTTGGGAGATTGGACGGATTTTCGCGATTATAATGGGGAATAATGCCGCCCGTAGAAGTGGACAGTTTACGGGGGCTTACTTCTATAATTCGCTTCTAAAGTTGCCGTAAACGGTGCTCATCCCGACAATAGATAAATGTTTCGGATAAAAACACGCTAAACGCTTTCGTAAAATCGTAACTATAACAATGGAATGACAATTTAAACTCCAACCCCAACAAACTAAATCCATGTCGCTTCGCAGCTATTTTTAAATTCCGATCGATTTTCATTCATTAATATTATTGAGCGTAGATAAACAATCTGAAAGTCGAGTTAACATCGATTTGAATCATCGTTGAATTATAAACATACTGTTCGCAATCATAACCAAACTCAAACGGATTAATCACACTCCGAGTCGCACGAATCCGACTAATTCAATGAGCCACCCGCATTAAAAACATATTTCCATAAAGAGCGACCCCTCCCAGCCTCCACGATCCAATCAGCCTTATCTCGCCCGACCCTAACGCAAACACCTCCTAATCAAATCAAATCACAGCCTCCGTCTTCCCTAATCTATCCACCTATCTACACTCAAACATAAAATTATATTACAAAAAGGGACAGTTACCTACAGCCCCTCGTATATTTGCGAGCACAGGCGAAATTTAACCCATCGGAAGCGTCCCTTTATGCTGCATACCAGTAAAACTTCGTTGTAGGAAAACACACCTATTCAGCGACGCACACATGCCCGCGTTACACAACACAACGGCGCGTATCAGCGTATCTACGCCATCTAGATCCCCACTATGAGAACCCCCAAGAGGGAGGCAATCCATTTACCAGCGGTCCCGGCGCACTCGAATTTACTCCTTGCCCGATGGTATTAGAGAAGACAATTGGGCGGCGGGGGTACCGTTTTCAAAGGTTTACACGGCCCCTAGCAGTGAAAGCGCGGAATCGATGTAGCCTTTACCCCTCGCCCCACGCCAGTTTTTCCGGCGCTCTGTCTTTATCAGACCGAAGCGATTAGATAAGGAGAGATATAGCGTGAAAATAAAGATTTTCATCGTGTTCACTCACACCACGCTAGTTTGAGTAATATCTACAGCAATATAGAGGTTGTATAGTGTCTGTTGTGTAGGCACAGACAGCAGTATGTACGCGGCCCTCTTATAACAGAGAAGGGGTCGGCACTCGGCACTACTTTAGTGCTCCGTTGGAAAGCTCTTCGAGTTTAATTTAGTTTAGTTATGTATTTGTAGTACATTTTTAACGCGCAAGCTATGCTTATCTCGTAAATTATGTAAGTATGTGTTGGACATTCGTGTGAAACTTTAAAATAAACCTCCGATTGTGACTTATACGCGAAACATAATTCAATATTCTTATGTTACTTAGCTGCCGAGAAGTAGGTCGCTTGTGTGAAGTAACTGCTATTTATGGGTGAAGCTAGGACATTTTGAAACGGCTATAACAATAAAGCGGCAAAGCTCTTTGATTCTTTAAATTTTCACACGAAGAGGCGAAGACCCGCTTATTGGCGGTGGCCAGGGAAGCCATGTTGGCAAACTACCTTAACGATTTATTTAAGTTAGGCGCGAGTAGCCGATGGAAACGAACGTATCGCAATACTGTACACGGATAACGAAATACAGCTCCAATATTGACAGGCTTGTCTTTGTTTTATCATTCTACTTAATCATCGTCGCTTGAAAGATCGTATAATATATAAAGAAAACAAAAATTTGAATGTGAGCCACAATAAAAGATTTTGTTAGTGTTCTTTGTTTAAATTATTTCTGGTTTTTGGACGAAGTTCTTTATTTCTTTATGGAACTTTACAATAATAACCAATGTTGTAATTTATGGTTTACATATATGTTTTAGTAAAATCGTCCACTATTTTTACTACTAATCGCATTATTTATATGTCATTATATTAATGCATGAAGGGAAACTTTGGATTTATTTTTAAGGATATTGCATGAAAGAAGGAGTTTTGATATTTGTCGTATTTAAATTTAATATGGTGTAGATGATCGATCACTTATCGTTTATGTTCATACTGTCAAATTCAAGCCCATAATATTATGTTGTCAAAGAGTAAAGATTGTCGTCAGAGAGTTATACGACAGGTTGAATGAGCCTAATTCTCTATCTCTTTTAGACAACTAGTTTATTTGATTGTACATAGAATAAAACTTGTGTTAGGCTATATCTTTGAACAAGTATAGAGGGACCGTGTGAAGAATATACTATTATACATAAATCTCATATGTCTGCCGGTAAAAATCAAAACTTCATCAAACTGCCCACATGAGAAGTCAAGTTAAAATGCCATTATAATTGGATTAATTGGAACAACGAACTATCTATATATAAGTTGAATTATTATACAGGTTAGCGTACAGCTTATTGTAGTTAGTTTTTACACGCCAGGTATCTGATTAAGATACTCCAGCCGCTAAATCGAACGAGAAAACAAAGGGCAACACGGGTTTCAGCCGGAGCGAAACGATAGATGTTGAATTCGGGCGATCGTGGCAATAACGCCAACGGTTCGACATTCACGGGGGCACTCCTTAGACCGGATCACGTTCGACGCGATCATTTGACTAGCTCCTAAAGGTACACGTGACCTTTGGATCGTGCGGCCCTAGACCTTGCGAACGCTGTCGAGATACCAACCACGTGTTCAACGCTACAAGCTACGAAGTCGATTTAACGAACTGCGACGCGCGCGCGTAAATTTTAAACCGCCTGAGAAGGGCTGGCATTTACCTCTTTAATAAATGTGTTGACTAGCTCGATTTTGACATAATTAACACTCATTACACAATGCTAATAAAAACCGTTGTGTTATGTTCACTTCTTTAAAGACCTTGTGCTACAATATTCGCTATTATCGTTATGTGTAATGTGTTTGAGTCGAAAAGTCTTGGCTGGTACATGAGGACATTAGCTTATTGATATTACAGTTAGTATACATTTGTTTACTCAAGACCCGTACCTTTCTATACGCATCTGAATCTAAGCTGCACATTTTGAGATGAAATTGAATCTTTATATTAAAACTAAATACAACATTCTCGTTGCCCAGAGGACTCCGAAACTTTGTTTCGCTGCAAATCAAAATGCTCTAACCCAAACTCTATTTCTTCTTATAATCGACTGATTTCAGCTATCTAAATCTACTGAACAGCTGCTTGAAAAGATTAAAAATATCTTTAAATAACTTTTTGTATTATATTCATATTTGGCTTAAGCATGTCTCTTATTTCCGGGCTATGCTTGAGTGACTTTCTATTCACTTTCGACGGAATGAATAGTCATAAACTCTCTTCTATATAGCTTGCATTTAAATCTAGAATGTTCACAGTTTAATCGAAAGAGGAATCACACAAAACAAATTTTACGAGTATATCATGTCACAAGGTGCGAGATTCAGGAATACCCTAACTCTTGGAATGAGGCGCGATTATATTTTGTCAATCTTAAATTAACTTCTACGGATCACTATTTCTCTCCGCCATATGTGTATGTATATTATATTTTGAATATGACGTATGCGTTTATATGCCTTAACGCACGTACACATATATTTACATATTATGTATGTATATATTATATATGTTCTAAGGATTTATTTCAAATGAGCTGAATCTGAATTTAAATTTTCATTTCTATAAATAACCCGCCATTTTCACCCTATTATAATATTCTCTCCCATTGTCACTCGTAAATTACTAAATAAGTTATATTTTTGTTTCCGTTTTTTTCGGTTTTCTTTTTGGTTTAAAATAAAGCATATTTATTATTGTTATTATAAAAATATTGAGCAATAAGGTATGAGCAATCCGTAGTATAACTCGCTTCATTATTAATATTTTTTGCATTCACGTTTACATTTTTCAAAAAGAAAGTTGATACAGAAGCAATACTATTGAAAAAATATGAGAACATAGTGTTTTTTAGTGTCTGGGTGTATATACGTCTATAATATGTATTTATTAAAAAAGAAAAGGACGTTTAAGTACTCATGGTACAAACTTACTTAGTTTGGGACTAGATAGCGTTGTGTAAATAATATTTTGTCCCGCAACACCAATTATTAGTATATTAGCATAAGTATTAATATTCATTTGAAGAGTCCATTACTAGGACAAAGTTTAGTAGTACATTTAGTAGTACAGTAGTACATTCTTCGTCGTAGTCCGTACCACGTCTGTATGAAAATATAGTCGAACTTTATGCATCCGTCGTTACTACAACGAAGCGCGGCGGTTGCCCAATGGCGATCGATACGGATCGCGCCCGAATCGACACGTCGGAACCGCCGCCCGTACTTGATTAAGATCGGACGCCTTATTCGTAATCGTCACGCCGCCGTCACGTCTACGTCACGTTGCCGTCACGCTGAGGTCACGCTGCAGCCTTCTACGTAGCTTCCTGGTCCTTATCTTTGTCTTCTTTTGATTTTCGCTCTAAAACCTAGGAACTCGGCGAAGCTTTTACGACGGAGCCAATGGAGCAAGTAGCTTACTTGATAGTGATCTCAGCCATACTCGAATATCTTATACAGTGCTCCACCCCTTATACAGCGTGTCTTTACCATCGCGACAATAAATAAACACACATATAGAGGATAACTTTTTAAAATTGTATTAAAGATTTACATTATTTAAACAACAATATTTAACGAGTTACCAAATTTTCCAAAACAAATAATTTTAGAACACCCTTACGTATAAAACTTTAATGTAACGTTCATTTGTAAAGGTCACAAAGCATATGAGTGGGTTGAATGAATTTAAAAGAGACAAAACATACTGTTAGAAGGAGAGGCTTGTAATGCGGCGCTGTGGCAACGAATGAAAAAGTCTCTGAATGTATGAATCAGTCAGATGTAGTTGTATAGGATGTCAAAAGTAACAGCCTATACATGTTCCACTGCTGGGCAAAGACCTCCTCTATAAAGAGGGTATCAGGGCATGAACTTTTTTTAACGTTAACATTTTTTATGATTATTGGCAAGTAGCGTTAGACGTGTGTTCATTTATTGTAGCGGTGGTAAAGACACGCTGTATAACCCTTAAAATTGAACTTTACCGTTTCACGTAAATTGTCATTTAAGAAACGAATATGATTAGAATACAATGAGTGAAAGTTGAAAAATCTTAATAAACTTGCGTATTAATTAAATTTTAACACAAAGAACATTTACTTTGGAATGCCTAAACCATAGTTTACGGTTTTTTCATACGAAGATTTATTGATAAAAAATAAGTGAGATTCAGTGAATTTATAATAATGACCTGTGCTCGTCCATTGCATAATTAGCTAGAGTACTTAATAGAAAATGTAGGAGAATTCCCAACAATTAATTCGTACCGGCGTTGATGGATGGCGCCACTGTATTATATAAATACAGCTTGTCACAATGACATTGTGTGCGGAATCTTTTTCTCATTTCGATGAAAACACCATTGTAACGTGAATAAACGTACTATTAAGTAAAAAAATATATTTAAATAAAAGAAATTATTCTAACTTAAATTAGAGGCTCATTATAATGTTGGAACAATGGTTATATTACTTCACTACACATTTTTATTTCTATTTATTCTTTTGGAATTGTTTTGTATCTTATTGTAATCCTTTATATAAAGTGCCAACCCTATAATTTTCACCCGTATAATCTGGGATATCGAAGCCAAAACCACCAAAAAGACAAGGATATACGTTTAAAGTCCCTACATGTCCTACCTTTATTAAATTGCAATAAAAAAAAAGTCTCTAAGACAACAATGAAAGTGTCCCGGCAATTGTCACGTAATCAACTAAAAACAAAATAATGGACACGTAATAAATAAACATAACGACAATGAACAATGCAATCGAAGGGGGCAGGCTAGACGCAAGACGGACCACAGACGGCCGAAGCGAAGCAGTACATCATAGTCCCTACATTGGCAAAAAATGACGGCCCTTGCCAATTAAGAGCACCTTAACATTAATTTACCAGAAGTGGAGAGAATAACACACCAATTAGCGATAAAAATGAACAATTTAATTGCAAATTGCGTACTACTTTATAATGGTGTTGCGGCAAAAGTGATACCGTTTACGTACGCCTGTTAAAAATGTCGGACCTTTAATTGCTCGAGTTTTTACCCGTCGCGAGCTTATCAGCGGGAACGGACGACGTATTGACTCTATCCGCGGCGAGAAACAAAAACATCCATTTCTATTGCAATAAGCCATTATTTTGAACCCAACGCGGCTTCTTTCGCATCCCGTTCGTGGTTGAAAAAGCCTACCGCACGGCGTCACAGAAGCTAAGAAGTAAACAACTATTTCACCGCATGTTTACGCTCGTACGTCACGAACGTGGCAAAAAATGGTAGGGGCCGTTGAAAGAAAGTGTTTTTTTAACGGATAATATGCCAGCAGGTTCATTTGATGTGAAACAACTACCGCCCATGGACTGACATCCGTTGGCCTGGAGTTGAGGCCCCTTCTTCTTCTTTCTCCATCTCTTATTCCACCTAGATGGGGTCTATACAACGTGTGAATCATGTCGTTAATGGAATCGGCTCAGTCATTTTTACCACTTGGCCCTGTCTACGTCAATGCTTCTTGGAGACAAGCACTTAGATTTGGAACAACTATACGTGGGTCAAACAAATCCTTGGCCCGCGTGACAATCGAATCCACGTACACCGACGCCAAAGCCAATAACTTAGCAACTGCGCCACCGCTCATCAGCTGAGGACTCCTATAGAACAATACTTCTACTATGTTTTTTTTTTTAATGGGCAAGTGAGGCAAACGAGCAATTTCGCCATCTGATGGTTAGTAATCACCGCCGTCCATGGACACTTGCACCATCGGAGGAGTCACAACTGCGTTGCCGGCTTCAAAACTTCGTCTGTCTCCATAAAGGTGCGATATCTCACAGAGGTAAAGCAGAAGCGGAATCGCCATATCGCATTAGTGACGTCACTATTGCGAAAAATGTTTTATGTGTCCAGCCGTTAACTGCCATGCCTAGTGATGGGAAGGTGATGAAGCCGTTGACGGTAAGCGTGCAAGCTCAAAAAGCCTATTCAGTTTTGCCTTGACGACGCCTACGTTATAATCGGGCAGAAAGACGGATATAGACGCAACAAGAATGCGTGAGTTCGGCGAAACTGCGAAGTGGCATCGGGCTACTCGATATTGTGTTCTGCGGGCGACTAAACGTCGGTAATTCCGCGTGGCACCGCTTCTTATAACGTGTGAATTTGCATTGAATGGGAGAGGACGGTGCGGGCTTTTTCAAATTGGATACAAGGCGATCCCGTGAACACAGGCTCGGCTGTTGTTAGGGTGGGGCGATGCGCCCGACAGATGGCAGTTGGCTCGGATTAAGGATGGCCGTGGCAGACACTGAAGAGATTCACACAGATTCACTTAATCCTGCTTCGAAGACACAAAGAATGCTTGCGTGCAGTTTTAAATAGGAATGTAAATCCTGTAGCAAGGACGGGCCAACTCAAGCAAAAGTCAGTTTTGGCAGCACCGAAGGCTCGGTGATTTTGTGGTCACTCGAACTACTCGTGTTGTGAGTACGATTCTGGCATGAGACAAAAGCGTGATCCATTATTAGTTCTATCGAATCTGGATGCACTCTACGTTCGTGACGTCATGTTTCCGAAATTAACTAACTCGACGATTATTCCTCATATCATCGGGATCATTATATAAATAATTTAATATGATGAAGTGTTTAAGACTTAAGTGGTTACGAGTTTTAAATACATAATGAAATTACGTTTGTAAATAGTGCTTAAATGAATCTATTCCGATTTTGTAATACGAAAATAAGAAAGTGGCTATAAATAAAAAACCAGACAAGCTCTGAAGCTAAAAATTCTAGAGATAAATTTCTATTCAATTAACGTAATGCCGCAGTCATATTCGGTACGCGATTTAATGGCAATTATGAATAAATAAGGGCAGTCGTGCTAAATATCGAACTTAAAGGCCGTAGTCCTTGTTAAAAACGTTCCATGGGATCGTGGAATCAACCTTCCAGTTCACCTTTACTGCCGTTTCAATTGCGATATATTTCACACCAAACAATGTTTCGCCATTTTTGCTGTGACAATGGCTTGTGTGACCTTTTTATTATTCGAAAACGATCGATCCTAATAAAACGGATAGCTATTGCAATTCGCTTAGTACCATTCTTTTTAAAAATGCATACACTTGTTTTTTTTTTTAATAACGATGTATTATCTTTGACAATTTTTAATACATTGAAACTTTAAGATTATTAAGATAACTTGTTTTTATTGTACAGAGCCGTGATAGCTCAGTGTCCGGGCGCTCGCCTTTAATTCAATATACTCGAGCAACCTGAGTTCGATCCCCGGTGCCGGCACCAATGAAGTTTTTAACTTTAAGTGCTGACTTATCACGTGCTCCGCGGTGAAGGAAAACATCGTGAGGAAACCTGCATATTTTCGAAATAATAACAAAAAAAAAAAAATATATATTTCGAAAATATGTGAAGTCCGCCAATCCGCAGTGCGGCCGCGTGGTGGACTATGCCCTGATACCCTCTACATAGAGGAGGCCTTTGCCCTGCAGTGGGACATGTATAGGCTGTTACTTTACTTTACTTTTATTGTTCTGTATGAATGTATAACCAAAAAGTGTAATTTTTTCCTTTGCATCGGCATATAAAATAGACAGCAGGCCAGATATGGTCACAGAGTCAGTAGAGTATTTATGTTGTATCATTCATACACTGGTTAGACTACTAGCAACTAGACACTGGCGTTAATCAGAATATTAAGTACTATTAATACAGTGAATAAATTAATAAGAGTTTATATAGTAAGCTGAACATCAAATAACTGCGCTTTAAGATTAATTGATCTATTGGAGAACTCTCGAAATATGCCGCGAACGTGCCCCCTTAATGACACAATTATTGGACAGTCCGATTGACCGATGCAATTAATCAAACAGAACAGGTGCACGGCCGCGTGTAAAGTGGCCCGGGTTCCGTAGTAAGCTGCGAAGGTGGAAGTCGTAAATACGAGCGCGCAGCTGCCTCCGAGGCGATACTGTTTAATGCCGAATAGGTACGTGATCCGCGATTAAGAATTTGTTGCGAAGCCGATTCTGTGACGCCGCAAGTGCGAAATAATTATAAATTCGCGTACGTAAACTGTTTACGACTTAACGGCATAGTTGAAGCGAGCAAGTACGTCATTTCACGGAAAGAATTTATTTTTAATATTACGTCCCGTAATTACTCTTTAGATTTAGACCAGATTTATTAAAAAGCCTTTTCTGCATTTTAAAAGCATTGACAACACGTTGGTATGCATTAGTCGGTTTGAGTTCAAAAGTTTTTTCTTACAGCAGCAACGTTACCAACAATGATTCGCCGTGAGTTATTCATACTCTCGATCGCACTGAGGCAGACATAACGCGGTGCCTTGCACTGCTGAACCGCAAACGCGTAGGGTTGCCAACTCACGAAAACAACGAATTAAAGTCACTAATCTATTCCGAATGCAAGCCCAACCGAGAACAAAAATAAATTGGCTAATATAAATATATGTAATATAAATATTAAAAAAAAATTATTAATTGTTTGCGGGTATGCGATGAGTTAGTTTAGGACGCCCCAACTAGACCTAGTGTTTTCTGGTTAGCGGATAGACAGCCCTAGTTCGCAAGGTGAGGGGTCAGTTAACGCGTTTTAGCAGCGCGTCATGCTTATAATTAGCGCGGGAGGCGCACGCGCGTCGTGCTCTCTCCCGCGCCGCGTCCGATACGATAAATCAAAATTTTGAATCACCGGTGGGCGTGTGGCCACTCCAGCGCCGAATAAAACGAATCGAGAAATAAACCGAAGCACCATGAGAAAACCTGGAGAGGGTTTTCGCTTTGCTCTTTTTTAATTGATACCTTGTTAAAATTTAATATCGAGGGCGCGCGCGTTATTACAATGGGTGTGCGCGCGGGAGACGCCTCGGCTCGCTTTCACAGCGCCTTCGGAGTACAGCCGATTAATCGGAAGGTTTTTTAACGAGAAACGATAATGCGATCGACTCTCAACTGAAAAATTAATTTCGTGTCGATTCAGAAGCGCCCTAAATTTACGCGAGCTCGTCGCGAAACCGCGAATTTCACTGTCTTCGCTGTTGCAGAAATGGGCAGGTCCGTCCGGGGAAGTACAAAGAACTCACAGAAGACACAGCGTGATATAGAAGTGTTACACTTCTGCATTTCGTCTGGAGAGTGCGGTAATCGGGGGCCCACTTTATTAAAAGGTGGCAACGCTTCTTCAACCCTACAGAGGTTACAAATGGCAGCGGTTATCACTTAACATCACGTGAAACAACAACTCCCTTGCCATCTTCTCACATAAAAAAATCTTCTTTCTTTCTTTCTGAATAACGCCATCCGATAAAGCGGCAGCCCTAGGTCCGAGGAGAAATATACGTATAAAGCGAACCGTTGGATGCGTTGTTTTTTTTTTACAACAGTAACCCCGCGGGTCAAGCGTTCCCCGGCACCGTACGAGCATCCGGGGGCAAGTGCGTGCGGAGTGACGTCCAGAGCGGACGGTAGTCTGCGCACGCGTCGCTGCCTGACGGCCCATCACTCGGCCCGACGTGAACTGACCGGTGCCTTTGATGTGCACGACGCGCCAGCGGGGCCCAGGTCTAATGAGCCGCCAACGCTCCGATGATGAGCACCGATTCCGTGGGGAACCGGTGGTTCGTAATAATATCGGTATTTTATAGACGCGAAGCCAACTCCGAAAACTTGTTCAAAATGAATTCCGTCTTATATTTTACTTTAGTGTTCACAAGAGACAACAACTTTCAAGTTGTTGATAAGTCACGTATATCTACTTTTCTTTTGTCACTAGATTACGTTCTTTTTAATATGTTATGTCAGCAGTGCCAGAGAAAAAGCTAAAACTGTTGATATATTTATTTACGCAGCATTAGCTTAGGTGGTCAGGTGACACTGGGCATTGCTTGTGATCGTCCCCGATACGGCAAAAGCTTGCTCCATAGTTGTTCCGAGTCTGGCCGACTTTGCGTCCGTAATTTTCATATTTGTGAAAGCTCCCGCGATAATTCACAGACTGGGCTTCGTTTAAAAAAAATAAAAAAGAAGGACCGACACTATCTCGATCCACCTATCGTAATGTTGCCGCGTGTCGGAGTATTCCTTAATACCCTCTGCATGTAGAGCCTTTGCAGAACGGCGCAACACATCGAGTCAAAAGACAAGGGAACGGATAACTTTATCTTTACAATGACGATAAAGCGAGCTTAACTTTTATCCCTCGATGGCACAGTCAATCGAATTGGAAAGTCGGCGCGCACTGTACTCGTTACAAAGGCAGGTGTAACTGCGCCGCGCGATCCATTATTATTTATAGCTCGCATTTCAAACTCTAACAACCAATGTAACTAACGTCTTGCTAAATGGAAACAATTGTTTATTACAGTTTTCATTTAACTTAATAACAATATATCATTCGTCTTTTTTTAACATCGCCGTCGTCTTTAGACGGTTTTATAGGGTTTCTTTCCGTAGCGGCGGGCAATTAAGGTCCTAACCCTGAATTAATGTCTATTAAAGTGAAGATCATTTATTTACAGGAAATATCTAACGAAAACTGCTATTCTTTTTTAATTTATAACAGTTTCCATTATATTAATGAGCTATTGTTTTTTTTTAATTCCAACCAGCCAGTGCTAGGGGTTTATCCCTCTTTATATAAGTCCGCAAAGTTATTGTAAACAAATAGGATAGTAAGTAAGACGTTCTTGGAGGACATGAATACAACATAAGTACACATACGAATACAGCAAATACAAAAGCTATAGGATATAATCTTTAACTGGCCTATAGAAAACTATGAAACATTAACACACTATACAGCTTACAAGTGCAAAACGTTAGCCGGAGACATGTGAAGGCTCACTTATTAAATTAGGTACGGAATTCTTCAAATATTAGTTTATAAATTAGGCTTCGATAGCTTTCGTGTCTGTTGAAAAGGCACTAGTATCTTCTGCATTCCGCAAATTAAAATTTCCATAGTAGCACAACGCGGGTTGGCGGGAATGTGCGCGCGCAAAAACTCGCGCGCTTACAACAGTTATGGTAACCGGCGCGCTTTGCCCACCTTAAGCGACCGTGAAATTAAATTCAATTTGCGTAAAAACAAACAAATAAATTGCTGACTCAACAAAAACCTCCTTCTGGTAGCGCCGTGATGGACTACCGTTGTTTCTCGTCATGAACAAGCTAGTACACTCGATACGTGAGACCGGACGAAAATAAATCACATTAAATATTTAATAAATAAAAATAATTTGGAATGGGAATAGTCTCATATAACGTCCATTTTAATATCGAAATATATTATTATTTCAATGATGGTTAGCATGCCTACATATATTGCAATTTACAAATTGTGAAAATTCTGTTAATTTATTTGAACAATATGTAGGTACTTATATTTTTAAAAAAAAACATTGTTTTCCTTTTGGCAAATTAAGTCATTATCACTCGGGGATAACGTGCCTTTTCGTTAGTGAAACCATTCTGAAAGAAATCTATAGTTTTAGACAGTACCCATTATATCGAAACAAATAACTTTATAGGAAATAGCCATGTCCAGACATTTATTAGTTTAGACATGACTTTTTCCTATAAATTTGCTTGTAAAGAGTTCTTGTTCAATGTTGAATGGGTCAGTCACTTTCATATATCGCTATTATGGTTGATACACATGCTTCGTCCCCTGCAAACGTTCCCTTAATGTCAATTGCAATAATTATCAAACGGGCAAGGATGAAAGTAAACAATAAAGGACAAATCGACCGTTAGAACATAAACAAAGTAAACATCCCGAGACATGCATATAGAGTAGCATAGTTAATCATTTCATATAAATCTTGTTTTTGTGTTTTGAAGTGAAAGCTTCCAAAGTCACGTTCGACAGTTTTGGATAGAGAAAACTGTTTTGTTATTTGTTGATTTAAAAATTAAAAAAGAAAGTTAATTCAATTTTAAGTTTTTACTTCCCCATAACTGCTTATTTTTTTTTTTGAAAACAGACCAGCTCTTGCCTAATAATTTGCATTGACTAACCATCGGGTTCGGTGGTTAGTTACTTTGTAGACTGCGCATTTATTATATGAGCCCACTTCAATCGAATACTTGTTTCACGACTTTACCTATCGCGTTTAGATAATTAAAACGCATTAGCCTTAAACCATCTCTTACAGTAAAAAAGACTTGTGATGTGACCTCGTTCGTACAAGTGAGTAGGTACCTACTTACATAAATTAAAAATGCCTGCCCAAGATAATTTCGAAACGAAAAACCCTCCTACGTACAACCCAAAAGGCACGGCGTAGTTTAAATAAGAAATATTTGTCGGATGGATTTTCCGCTTTCCATCGCTGCGACCACGTAAAACCTCGAAATTCTACCCTTAATTCCTGGCATTGCATAAAAATCGCTCATTTAAAAATAAAAAATAAATAAAGACAATCTAGCGGCAGCCACAGCGCGTCGACCGTGAAGCCGCGCAGTGAACGCGAATTAAATAAGACCGGAGCGGGCCAACATGCGAGTCGAACAAGGGTGGCCCATCCAGCCGGTGTAAGGATTAATTATCGACCGAAATCGACCACTCAAATATACCTGTCACCGGTGTACGACGACCCGGGGGCCGATTTATAGGGCCCCCGGACAATGGTGGAAGCAGCGAGCACAATGGCGGCAAAATGAGCAAGAGCAGAGCGCGCCCCGCGCACAGACGCACTAACCAGCCGCTCCCTGTGTTACAAGTATCGGCGCTGTGTGCCAATTGTGTTGACAGCGTAAAAATCCTAACGTGCACCGGCCATAAATTTTTTGAGCAGAGAAACGAGAAAGAACTGATTTGACACCGCTTAGAGATGATAGTTGAAAACAAAAGCGATTTATTTTTCCGTTATTTAGTGTAATTCCTGATGAATCCTGTAATCCCGGTTAAGTAGGGATAGATTGTTTTCGTGGAGTTTATGAAGCTTAAAATTATGCTTATAGAAAATTTAAAACGATAAACCGTGCAAAACACGCGAAACTGCTTTGCTCGTAGGAAAGCGACGTTCTATAACGTATGGAATAAAATTCGAATACCTAATAATTAAACAATCCAAGCACTGAATGCAAACTCAAAAATTTTTCCGTTATTGTACTTAGTTATATACTGAAACGTGCGTATATGCAACAGCGAATACGCTTATGTAAATACAAAGGGTTGAACACCACGCACGCACGTTTGGTGACGCGAGGACCACCGGGCCGCGGTGTCAGCCCTGATTCACGACCAGGAATCGTAGGGTTGCTTCTCCCTCCACCAGCGATGAACACCATCTTGTCCCATATATATATTTAAACTTATATATGAATTCATCGCAAGAGCTCCTTTGAAATTTTATGTATTTCGATTGTCTGTTTGTTTCGCTGTCTACCGTCTTCAAAGTATGACGTAGACGTTGGTAAACTGGGATTACCTCGGACGGTGCCAACTTATTTTCTAAGCTTAGGAATGAAAATGAGTTCAATAAATTCGTTACTTAATTACGCTATATTACACAACATCAACTTTGGAGACTCTTTTTAGGGTTATATAGAGTGTGCAAATATACATAATAGATTGACGCTTTCAGCAGTTGCATGTATAGAAATGTCATTGAAATATTAATTACTAACGGATATTGTTCGAACATTGTCAATGAACTGAAACATAATTAAAATTATAAAAGTTACATAGCCAAGTCAATATAACATAAACATATAACGTTGTGAAGCGAGCCAGCCCTGAACATGGAATGGCGGCAACGACAAGCGTAGCATTGTTAGGCCTGGGCCGCCCTGGACCCTGAATAAATACATTCATATTGCCACTCTAAATATCTGCAATGGACGCGCCCCGCGCTCGAATGCCGACGAACAAAAAACCGTATGATTAATAAAACCGATGCCTCCCGCATAAACCGCGGTAAATACAGCATTTGGTCGGAAGTCAGTCGCTCTGATTGTTAAAATGCGTATTAATTAAAACACCACGTTGGTCGTCTTCAGCGATGTTAAAATACGTTCCGATCGATTCGCGAGATTCCGATTGTGGATACGTTAACACTTACAACTTACTCCCCACGCTCCCCAGGGATTCGATCGTGTTGACTCTACCGCATCGCGACACATCCAGCGCAACGAAATGCGCAGAAAATGGAAAAAACATGGCGCTAAACCGCGAAACCGTATGTATTTAAACGCCGAATCCGAGGGGCCGACGCTCAAAAAAGCGAACGGCTTTCGGTCATTTAAATTTTTCCTAAACGTGAACACAATGGAACAGATTCAGAGAGCCAACTTTTTGTTCTATTTTCGAATTTTAAAAATATAAAAAAGGAATTCGGTTCGGCAAGGCCTGTCACATCATTCCAGCGCTGCTAAGTGACGCCGGACGCACGTCAGTTCCCTGGATGTGTTTTATTTTCATACGAATCGAGCTGACTCGTCTTGTTTTTTGTTATCATCATAGTTGTCCAACCCGCGTATACGATTAATTTTATAAACGTTTCGCAACTTTGTAGTGATAAATTTTAGCTCTTGGCATTGTGGACGTTATTTTAGTATTCACTTTTTATAGTTAATGCAATT